AAAAAAACGCGCCTGATGAGCTCAACGGTGAGCTCATTTTCGGGAAACAAAAATACGCGTTTACGGTTTCCTTGGTAACCTTTGTTTGCTATCAGCTGATGTTTTATTTCCATTTCCCAGCCAAGTCGACGGAATTTATACGTCCTTTCTTCATTAAATACATTTACTAACACCTGAGCGCTTTTCTAATACGACAGTATTGGAACTTTCCCGCTTGTTTTTTTTTTTTTTTTTTTTTTTTTTTTTTTTTTTTTTTTTTTTTTTTTTTTTTTTTTTTTTTTTNTTTTTTTTTTTTTTTTTTTTTTTTTTATGTATATTAAATTGATGAAGTTCTGCAGGAAGATTTTCACCCACAGTTTGGAAAAAATTGATTAAGGAAGAGTATGATATACACAGGGGCAAGGATGGTAGAGGTAAAGATTTGCATTTATCGGCCTACAGTAAGGTGGCAAGCGCGATCATGCGTCTACTAGCGTAATATCCTGAAATAGCCAGAGACTGCACAGTTTATGATAACTCAGCGTAACTTATCCAACGAGCTGATTATTGCAACTGATAGATAAAATGAAAGACAATGAGAGAAAGAGAAATGGGGCGATCCTTTTGCTGCGGAAGCGGGGGGTTGGTGGTTGCAATGGATAATAAAAGGTAAGAAATAGACTACCCAACGGCAACCCACAAGACAACCTATAGGTAGTCCATCAATTTACCCCTTAGTTCAAAACAAACACCCGTCTCAACCAATAGGATCACTTAATTTTCTTTCATCTTCTTTGTCAATAGTTTTTCTGATCAACTTCAAGAATCAGTCGGCGTGTAAATCTAGATTCTAGAATCTATACCCGATATTTTTATAGAGGCAAATTCATCCCGATTAAGTCTGACCTATACCCAATTAGTTTTTTGCGTAGTCTATCGAGATCGACTTTAAAAATCCTCATCGATCATCTCCAGTGGCGAGGCGTGAATGATCGATTATCGATATTTTCCCATTTGAAATTATGGTAAAGAATCGATTATCGAGGTGCTAGTTGCGAACACCCTGTTTATCGATCCTTTTCCATAGGTTTAAATGGCAGATCAATCGATATATCTAAAAGTACGCCACGCCACTGGAAAATTCAGTCTCAGTCTCATGTGGCCCTTAAACCCCAAAAGGAAAATTTAGAATTGAACATACTACTCCACACAGTGTGTTTTATTACTTTTACCACCCATGCAATGCCGCAAAAATCGCTTAACGCTTGCCACTCTAAAAAAGGTAAAGAATACAAAACGCATCAAAGTTCTAATGCACTCAATGGTGAGCACAATGAGGACGATTACAATACATTTGGCATTGTCTGCTTTAGGTGCCATAATTCTGCTGTGTCCGCGTGGTTTATGTGTGTGAGATATTCCGTTTGTTTTATGTAACGTATAGCTCACCGTGGCGAGACACTAAAATTGTCGGAGAGGTAATAAAAAGAGTGGTCAAAAAGAACCTCGCGTCCCACCGTAAAATTTTGTTTCTTAGACCTTGAAAATTCGGCTGAGCAACATTAATTAGTCCTAATTTTACTGTTCACTCGTCGGGTTTTCATAGATTTGAAGCTTGCATGTGATTATTGGATTTTTACTAACAATTCTACAGCAGTTTTGATACGTTGTTTATTCAGTGTTGGATTCTGTCCCATCCTCTCTATCAACGACGAGACTGCAGAAAGTGCATTTTGTTTACGGTGTCCTCAACTTTCTGTTCTTATTTGATTTAATCACTAGAGGACAAGCCAATGAAATGATCGCAGAATATTTTTCTCGCAGAAAAGAAAGATAATGAGAGAAATGACGTTGAGGATTTTTCAAATTAAAAAATAAATCATGAGAAGAAGTCTGCAGCGACCCAAACCGGGGTACCTACGCGTTTCAGAAGGTATTTGCCCCGCCGATATGCTGTGTTTTTGAAACAAGGATAAAGATTTGCTGCGAAACTGTAGAAATTTACGCGTTAATTTTGCGTGAATTAATTTCGGATGAGTTAGGGGAAGTTGGAAGAGAGAGGTAAAAGGCATGGAAAATGGTCCAAATTACTATATCAAATAGACCTATTGAAATATCCTAGACTCGAAGTCCACGTGTGCGCACTAAAAACTGAAAGCACACTAAAATTAATGTACATTCGACATCTTAAGTTTAGGAAAATTCCAAGCCTCGGAGATCAGAGGACATGTCTTTCTCAAATAATTTAAATTTCTGAATCTCCCGAGCAAATTCCTCTCCTGCACGTTGTGAAATTGTGGAGTCCCTTCGGTAAAATCTCGGTATTAAAATAATCTCCTTCCAATATCCAGTCTACCAGCATTGTCTTGCGCGCCGTTACAGGATCAGATGGATCATGTCGGTGGTGTAAGTGAAATTGCATCTCTTCAGATTGAAGGTGCATTTAAAAGCATGTTTCTCACCTTTTTCAGTCGCTCGTAATAAGGACTCGGTCATTCTTAACTTTCGCTGATTTTTCTTTTAATTTTGTTCTTTTCCAGATTCAGACGAATGGTGTCAAATATCCCGATAAATGGAGTTCAAGTCATGATGAAGTTCTACTTCAAGAAAAAACCCAACATGTCCTGCTGATGAATTCAAACATCCGAGTGAAATTCCTCCGGATCGAGTTCATTGTCAAAAAATCTTGCAAATTCAAAAATCTCTATACGGTGCGCGTTTTCCGAATTTTCTCGTTGAGCGCGGTCTATTCTAGTACAAATTTTAATGTCTTAAAAAAATCTATATGCCTTCCATTTGACTCTATAAAAATTTTTAAAAACACGTGATTGTTTCCGATTTTACGTGTTTTGAATATACTCGACCGTTCCTCAAAAATTCGGCGCTACCGTTATTTTTCTGTGATTTGCTGCCTTTTTTATTAATACCGGGTTTACGTCGTATTCATGTCTGCGGACGATACTTTACTCAGTGCCTAATTGTGTTGATCTCTTTTACGCGTAAATAACTCATTGTTTTTGGTGCTCCTATCTATTAATCAACTTGCGTTTTGAATCAACCTCAAATAATAAACTTTTGATTGGTTGATGGCAAACAACATCCACTCAAAACAACCGTGAATTTTACCTCCGATCGAAAATTTATATTTATATAATTGATTCTTAACTATATTAAACTTCGATTTCTTTGAAAAAGTGTTAGTGTGGAAAATTTTCAACGACGGCTGTAATCTAGGACCTTGCTAATCTTCGCTTTATCTGTAAAACTAACAGCAAGAACAAATTTTACTCGTGAATAGTGTTTCAAGGGGCAGAAAATAACAATCAAATCATAAAAACCACCTACTTGCCATTCTTCAGTTATTTCAATTATTCTGTCCGGTAATTAGAGAGATTTCAGTGCCGTAAGAAAAATTCAGTGCAACTCTTCGAAAATCTTCTCTTTTTGTGTCTTTTCGAAGTTTCCCAAATTTCGGTCCAAAAATGACGTTTTCCTCGAAACCTTTTAAACTGCGGAGCGTGAGCAGATTGCACAGCTCGAATTGATAGTGGTCCTGGTGACTTGAACGCGCGGCTAAAAAGAACAACCCAAATGTACAACCTGAACGTGCCTTCCACGGGGGGAGACGGGGCTCTCGCACTCCCCCAATCCGGGTCTCAAACCCCGCGCACCCCCGAAGTTCTCAATACCCTGATGGCTGTGATGAACCCCCTGGACGCCTACACCCCGACGGACCCGAAACTCGCCTCCTCTCCACCGGGTGATTCCGAAATGGGCTCCGGGACCGGTTCGGGTATCGGTTCCGCGACAGCGCATCCCATTCCTGTGTCGAGTATCCAAAAGACTCGATCTTTACTCATCAAAGAGGGGTTGAAGCTCACGATACAGGCGAAGCGGGGTGCGATGACGCCCGGATCGGATTCTGGTTCGGAACTGGTTCATGAAAAACCTACCCCCTTCCTGAGGGAGGATTTTACCATGGACTCGATCGGGTCCGATGAAGGAGATGATGGGATGTCTTCCATAGCTGGTGATGCGGTGAGTTTTCAGTTTTTTTTGTTCATTTTTTTGGCCCAGTATGCTATACTGCCGACTGCCGCACTGGGGAGAACATTGTATAAAGATTCGGATGTTGCCAAATTTCCATTTGTAAAAATTTAGTTTTGCGAAGTGTAGAACATTTTTCTTTAAAATTTCCAGATACTTCACTGAACAAAAAACTCGGGCCGTGGGAGCCGAAATTACGGGCTATATAGACATACCGTCCGTTCCGGGCTCAAAGGCCGAAAATTCCGGCTGCTGGAGGCGTAGCTTCGATTGCTCCGGGTTCAGAGGCCGAAACTACGGCTCCAGCAGCCGGAATTTTCGGCCTTTGAGCCCGGAACGGACGGTATGTCTATATAGCCCGTAATTTCGGCTCCCACGGCCGGAGTTTTTTTTTCAGTGTTCAGATCAAAGTACAAATTAACTGATATGATAAATTAAGAGGAAAATATTCAATGGGTTCTTGAAAATGTGTGTTTCATCAATCAGCCATATCCCAAAGTTAATACTGCACTCAGTGGAACGAGTCTTTGGCAGATGTCGAACATGAAATTTTTCACAAAAAATGAAACATTTAACGTTCATCTCGTCACAATTTTAATTTTAAGCGATTCGGAAACATTTTTCATCGAAAATGTTACGATGAAACCCATGAAACTACTTTTAAAACATCGACATTTCATACTTACGAAGATATTCGTTTTTAAAGTTCATAAATCCTGTCCGACCTCTCTGATTGGCTCGCTCCGCACTGTACGGCGTTCCTCCTCAGTATGCAAGTACACTTGATAGAAATCAAACAGAACTTTTTCTGCTTAATGAAAAACCTTAAATGAAGTTGAATTATAGATCCCAAATAGCAGAGTGTAGTGAAAATATTAAAATAAAATTGCGTTTTATTGCAACAAAAATTAAATGTTTTACCATGAAATGCAATATTTTTACACCACATGGTCATTGAATGGCGATTTTAAACAATCAACAAAGTGAGTTCAATGTGTCAGAAAGATAGGCAATATGCAGCGCAATTACAACGCAAATTACATACCGATGGTGAAACTACCAAACCACGTATCTCGGTTTGCGACGTCGCAGACTTCCTGCCATACTTTAATTTTTAAATGGGAAAGTACTCAACGTCAATTCTTAAAAACTTCCGTGATTTTTCTTCTCAGTGCGAAGAAAATTCTGAAAAAACTTCAAGGAATGATATTGAATTGTTCTCCTCCAGAAAAATAAAATGAGAGCGGAGATTTTTAGACACCGCAAACGAGATAGTGGTTTGGTAGTTTCACCATCGATACGTGCAGAGATGCATTATGCGCGGCATTTACGCAAATTATAATAGAGGAAGATATAGCCGGACCACGGAATTATTGAATTAGATTAGAGTTTATTTATTCTACATTTAGTAATTTTTAAGTTGATTAATTTATTGCTTTTAATAATTACAGTAATACTCATCATAATTGTTTTTTTTACGTCATTAGAACGCAAGACAATTAGTTATTCATAATCACGATGAGAACCAAATAAATTTTTAGTTACAGGAATTACACAACCAATTTCAGGTGCTACACAATTATTATCAAAAGAAATGAATATAAATTATAATTCAAACTTTTTCACGTAATAAATCTAATTAAACAATTCCGTGGTCCGGGTATAACTTCCCCTATTATGAAAAATTATAAATTATTCCAATTTTATTGCAATAATTTCAATAAGTTGCGTGCATCCAATCACTGGATAGGCAACGCACACGACACCTCGATGCAGTAGCTATAATTTTACCATGCAATTGCAATTTATAGCAATCTATGCTGCTTGGGATCGAATGTTGAGTGGACTTGTAAAGATGGTAAAAGTAGAAAGAAAAAGAAAAAAAGCATCATTTTGATAATCAGGAGCATTAATGGCTGTCATGCAGCATTTATTGCGTCTTGTGAATTTGAAGGCACTTCTTGGACTCTGATCTGATGTTTATGCTGAATAACGTAAACGGTCAAGTGGAGGAAAATCAAGATCACTGCAAAAGTGATAAAATTAATCTGTTGAAAATGCTAAAAACAGTGGGACCTGCAAAAAATGAAATTTATGGTATTGTCATAACCTATTGGGTTTTAAACTGAGCTTTAGACTTTTTGAGAAAGATTAGGCAAACTGCATAACCTCAGTAGTATTTCAATGCACATTATTTTTTTACCTGTCTTGTGCAGTCCACTTAGTCCAGTTTTTACCAATTATGTCACACCTTTTTTTCCCCGTCTCCAGTTCTTGCACTTGTTTTTTATCCTAATTTGCTCTCCCTCTCTTGGCTTCTTCTACGTTTTCACTCTATTTGCAGTAGAATAATGAGTTGAGGACACAACAAATAACTACCCTAAATCTGTGAAACCAGCTGTTCATCATTATCTACCAAGACGACAATTCCGCCTATCTTCTGTCCCCCCCCCCCTTTTTGAAGCTGATTTTAATCTTCATTTGGGACTATAATACTCACGGCTGTGAGCAAATCTTACAATTTTTTTTTTCACCATGTAAATTCATCGTAAATGATCTTGCAAGACGTTTAAATGGCATTCCTGGTCCCTTTTTACAGGTATTGTCTTTAGAAGACGAAGAACGGAGACGGAGAAGGAGAGAAAAGAACAAAATCGCAGCGACGAAGTGCAGGCTGAAGAAGAGAGCACGAACCGTCAAGCTGGAGGAGGTGTGTACCTACTGCTACATTCAAAAGACCATTAAAGTTGACAAAACAAAAAATAAAAAGTAAAAAATTAAAAAAAAAAAAATAATATAAAAGGATCAATAGGACGTATTTCTAACAAACAGACCTATGTGGAGGTGAGAAATATGGGGTGTGCTCGTTAGTTCTCTGGCCGTAAGAGTGAATGAGAATAATAAAGCGCCAGTGACGTCAGCGGCAATGATGGAGCCGACTATCGAGAGGGGGATCGTCGTTAGAGTCCCTTCATACTGAGAGTCAAGACAACACCCCCTCATGGAGTCACAAACGGGGATAAAGATTACAGAAATTGAACGTTTTTAGTAATCTTTGATCGGCCCATTCTCAAATTCCTTTCTCCGTTCCTTCTCTCATTCCGTTTGTTCCTTGCCGAACCCGTAATTCCCTAGTCCATTCCAGATTATAATCTTTGCAATCGGTGAAAATGTAATCCTTATTCCCGTTTGTGACACTGTGAAGGCCTAAAATACGGGAACCAATCAGAGATGGATTCACATTGTCTTGACTCTCAGTATGAAGGGACTCTAATCGTCGTCGGGGCGCTTTAACTCATGAGCCCTGTTCACAACGCTCTCTTGCCATGCCCGCGGCTCATGAATCCCGCATTCAGTTGCCACATAGGTCTCTTTGATAGAATCTAATATCCCGCTTTTCCAATTCTTCAAAAGGAATCACGCCCTCTTTTACATTGTTTCTTACGCAGCTTTCTAGAGCACACCCCATATTTCTCACAGCCTGCACATAGTTCTGTTTGACAGAAATACGTCCAATAAGTGGAATTTATTTTATTTTATAAGTGGAGCTGTAAAAAGTCATGAATCAAAAATACTAATATAAAGTAGCCTCATGAATTCATTGTCATGAATTAATTGTTGTGTTTTGTGTTCATGAATTCAACTATGTCACTATAACGCCGAAAACATCGCAGCGTGTGGAATTCGCGTGGATTAAAGACGATGTTATGGTTTTTTTTTTTTCTGTTGGGCCGTAGATCTTTAATAAGCGACCTTATGATGACCGATTTATGTCTTCCTGCTCTCAGTAGTTTCCTCTTGCCTTCCTCTCATCAGAGCATCTACTACTTAAATGGAATAAATACATTTTATAGAAAAGTTCAGATTGTGCTTGAAAATACCGTTAAGATTTATTCAAAATTTTCTATTGGAACAAAAATTGGTGTCAAATCTGGCAAAACATTAGAGTCATTCGGAAAAACAAGTCCCGCATTTCCCCTGTTATCGGACCCCATCTCGTGCGCTTGAAGTCTGTTTTTAAATATTTATACTCCTGAAATTAATTCGTTTTGTCACACGTGGATTCCGACCAAGTTTTGTCCGTGAAGAACATATCCGGTGATTATTAAAACTGGGACCTCATTTCAATAATCGGCCAGCACCTCCTTAAAATATAGTCGGATCCGGTAATGTGCGGCCAGAGAGAATAATTTTGCCTCCATGAGAACGAAGAGAAGTAAATTTTCTTCCTCTTGCAGTCCGTGTTGAAGTTAATGAAGGCTTTGTTTTAGTTTGAAACCCATAATCGAAGATGAAAACGTTCTTTGCGCTGAAACTTGATAAATATCTAAGCAGTGCTTTCATCTCCAATTTATTATCTTATTTTGAGAACAGGATTTTTTCTCTTGCGTATCTCGTATGAGGAATAAACTTTCATAAACCACCCGCCGCCGGCCCCCTTTCTAGGGCTTCCGGAGCAATAACATTCTCTAGCGTGTAGTACATGAAAATGTTCTTTTTAAGAGTTTGCTGACCAAAAACTCGTAACGTAATATGAACCTACCAAAAAAAATTCAAGCAATAACAACAGCCTGTCATAAAAGGCAATTAGAAATAATAATACATTAAGTAAGGAAGTGCATCTCGTTCTTAAAGCAACCAATTCTTTCCACTAGGATTAAATTTTCAGAGCAAATAATTTAAAGTGTCAATTCAATCGTTAAATGAATCGTTAAAATACCTTTGAGAGACTAGTTCATCAATATATTCTTACAGGGCTTCTGATTTTTTAAAAATTAAAACTTCCACATTAGTGTAAAACCAAGCTTAAATGATACTAATTAACATATCCGAGACAATAATCTTTCAATAATGATTTATCTGAGTTTTATATCGACGGCTAAAGTGTGACACCACGCATCTCAATTGCTCTGTTTCAACATCTCCGCTCCTTGTACAGATTTTTCGAAGAGGAACAAGTCAACTCTATAGCTTGAATTTTATACAGAATATTTTACTACCAGAGAGGAACACTGGTGTTTTTAAAAAATTACCTTGACTAGTTTTCTCAGGAAAAAATAAAGTATCCAAACATTTTTGACAGAGTAGTGCCGTATGCTAAAATAATTATAAAAAGAAGAATCTTGATACTATACATTTTTATTAAAGGTTATTTACTTACATGCTGGTTACTTGCATGGCTACAATGAAAAGGCCTTTTGCATGTAATCATTGTAGCCATGCATGTAACCAGCATGTAAGTATAAATAACCTTTAATAAAAATGTATAGTACCAAGATTCTTCTTTTTATAGTTACTTTAAAAAATAAAGTGTACTTAAATGGAAGTTTACAATGTCTCAAATGGAGATACGTGGTGTCGCAATTTAGCCATCGATATTATTTAACTTAATGTTAATTAACTCTGTTAGATTATGAAATGAGAAGAACATTTTATAATGTTCTCTATTATCAGAAGTTGCACGATCATTGGACAAGGGAATTATTCAAATCGGTTTTTTTCCCCGCCATTAGTGGAAAACCGCTCAGGCAAGTAAGTTGGGAGGGCTTTCACACGTGCTATCGTAGACCCTGCGAAGTGTGAACAACAATGCAACTGTCCATGCAAGTGAACCGACGATGAGAGGAAAATTCCAAGGGCGCGGCTCATCCTTTTTCCGAACAGTCACAATTAAAAGATACATTGTAAAGTGAATGAGCAAAATACCTTATGCACCTTGTTGCCACTTCTCAAAATGACTGTCAGTTATTTGAAAGCTTCGATCATCACTGTTGTTCTCTTAATATTTTAACCCTCAAACTTAAGCGGGATTTGCCCAGACCCTATACATACTTTGCGTATGCTTGGAAAAAATTTAAATCCTCTTTGTATCAACTTTCATCAAATGAGGCATTTGCATTACCTAATCTGTTCTAAGGTGCTAACTCTAGACTGATAAATCTAGTCTCAACGTAGGATGAGTCTGCTCTTTTAATGCGAGAATCATTTTATGAAAACTAGTGTATTTTACGTTGTTATTGATAGAAAGTAAGATACGTCCATTTTTATAAAGTAGGCAAGCGCGCAAAAAAAAAGTACTCTTCCGCCAAGAAATCTAACCTTACTTCACAGCGGCGGAGGGAGGAAGAAGCAAGGATATTTACCTACCTATTAATAATAATTCGGAAGCCGCCATGAGGGGAAAAAATATTTCATGCAACGTTTGATGCATTTTTCAGGAATCAAAATTGCTGGAAAATCAAAACGTAGACCTGAAAGCGGAAATCGAGAAGCTGAAGTCGGAACGACAGCAGCTGGTCGAGATGCTTTCGGGACACCAGAAACACTGCAAGAAAAACCACCGAATCACCACTCTGACCGAGGAAGATTTCGCCAACGACCCGGAATTCATCTCAACGGACCTGGGGACGAACCCCTTCCAACCGGGAGACGCAACCCTCGCCACGACCCCTATGGAGCCCGGCAAACCCGAGGCCGTGAGCCACGGGCCCAGCACCTCTGCGCATGCGCAGTACACGATGGACTACTCCGCGCAGGAGTTCCCGCCGTCCGAAACGGTGCCCGTGAGACAGGATTACGTCTATCCAGGCTCGGAAGTCTACTTCAGTAATCCTGATATCAAACCACCAATTGGCATCATTCCAGGTCAGTTTTCTCAGAGAATGGTAGATTGAATGTTGGGAGATTTCTGAGTGCACGTCACAGGGTTCAGGGTGCAGGGTGTAGGTGCTTTGACCATCCCAGAGGAAAAGAGCAATTAGGGAATGGAAGCAATTTCTTCGGTTATCCAGGATTGCGCGGAAGGTCTAAGAAAATACATGAGGATTGCGCGAAAAGGACAAGGATTTGCGAAGTTAAAATGAAGTTAATTTAAGGTAAACGTTTGGCAGAACAGGAAACAGTTGGAAAATAAATGTATTTTTATCTTAGCGCTAGTTTAGGTTAGTTTGTTGACAAGTCATCAATGTCTTATCTTCTGATGATAAATGAAGTGAGAAGATTTGAATAATGGTCGTCAGTATAAAGAACTTTCCAAACTTTTCTCGGAAAAAATATTCAATCCGGAGAAACGAGGCAACGTTGGAATGCTCATGCGGCGTCGAAACACAACATGGGCCTTTTAAGCTCTATGATTCGATGCCAAGATTATCCCGTGGCGAGTTCGATTAATCGCGCCAAGCACAGTGCGACCGGCGTTAAACGCATATTAGCGCCTGCAAGACTGCATGAATACTTCTCGCATCGCGCTAAACGCAGTGCAGGCGGTCAGTTGGCGGGAAACGCATATTAGCGCCTGCAAGACTGCATGAATACTTCTCGCATTGCGCTAAACGCAGTGCAGGCGGTCAGTTGGCGGGAAACGCATATTAGCGCCCCCAAGACTGTAGGAATGCTGTAGGACTGCGTGTCATCATTCTTGATGGGGGCCGCTCTATACTCCCGTGCCAAGAAAAAACGCCGTATTAACTGCCTAATCTAAAATATCTGAAAATCTCAAAGGAAAATATGCGCAACTTTCTTCCAAGAGGAAATTTTTATCGGAGGAAATTTGGCAACTCCCGAATGTTCGCACAGCGCTCTTCCTTATCACGGCACTACTGGAGTCCTGTCGGGGTCCCCTGAGTAGAGTACCTTTATAGCGAGAGTATGGACAGATCGCTTCATGGAGGGCTTAGGGCCCAAAAGTGCAGCCACCTTTCTAACCAACTTCTAACGCACAAAATTTCACTGCCAGTCTGCAGATTCTAACTCTAACCAAGATGGCTAAGAATGTACATAAATAAGCGTTCTTCCGCAAAAATGAGTAAATTTATGCACAAACTAAGTCAAATACGTGCTTTATAAACGATGGTTCGTAACAATTGTATTAGTAAAGCGCTCTGGATAATTGAAATTCATAGATTGGCTGCATTTCTGGGCCCTAACTTTATTCGCGGAGGCATCGGTGAAAGCCTGATGCATTTTCGGAGTTTCACATCTGTCTATACTCTCGCTGTACAGGTACTCTACCCTGAGCCGCCCGTCAGAATTCCTGGGGTGCCGAACCATCCCAGCACCCTTGGCCAGGCCACACCCCTATCTAAAGTTCTCTATTTAAAAAAAATCAGTGTCGATGACTCTGTTGTTATTTCTTTGATTCCAGGCGCAAACTACTACGAGCGGAGCTACAACGCGACGACGCACCCGAGTTTCCCGGCGTACTCAGTGGCGACGGGAGTGGCGGCGCACGGTTCGCCGTTCGCCCACTCGGAGTACGACAGCAACGTGGAGCTCATGAGCCCGGCCAGCACCGGCACCTCCGGCTACACCGACTACTCCACCAGCGACGCCTCCAACTTCTCCCATTTCCCCGTCCCCTGCGCCACGTCCCCGCCCGAGGAGTACCCCCAATCCCACCCTAGGTACAACTGCGTCTACGAGATCAACCCATAGCACCGGGTGCCCATTTCGACCCAGCGGCATACTCAGCATGAAATACGGACATAGAGTACATAGAGTCGTCATGTAAATGAGAGAGCTGGCGCCATGTTCTGCTCGACGAGTTCTGAGCCCGGTGTGCGCCGAGTTCGGGTCACTTTTTCGATACATCGTCACCTCCCAGGCAAAGTATCACAAGCGCCATGCGGCGTTTAAAAATTTCTGCCGCCACTTTATTTTTTTACAGAGAAATTGTTCTACGAAGCTGTCCGAAAAATTCACTGAATTCTCTTTGTGCTGCCGATAAAATTTAGTGAAATTTCCAAACAGATTCAACCAACAATTTCTCAGCAAAGAAGTAAAATGGCGGCGGAAATTTTTAAACGTCGCATGGCGCTTGTGATACTTTGCCTGGAAGGTGACGACATGTTCGATCCAAAATGGCGGTGTGGAATACGTGATGATTCCTATCTTCCTTGTTTACATCGAATGGCTGGGTACCCGTGTATCGGGAACAATCGATAATGTATCGAAAAAGTGACCCGGCGTCACAATTCAGGCGGAATTCAGGACCTGGAAAATGCTTTGAAGTGGCGCCGGCTCTCCCACTTACATTACGACTCTATGTATTCTATGAATACGGGAGAGTTTCAAATTGACCGCGTTTAACAGAAAGGAACCAAGCCACATCAGCTATTGCCAAATTTAACAGGGCAATTTAATTTTTTTACGAGAGAACGTTTGTGTGGATTCCTTTGAAACTTTTAAGGAATTTGCTTCGCACTATGGAGAAAATCCATCGAAATTTGCACGAAAATCCGCACAACCGTTTTCATGTGAAAAATTAAATTGCCCGATTCAATTTGGCAATAGCTGATGTGCCTTGGTTCCTTTCTGATTAACGCGGTCCAAATGGTGTGTAGGAGCACAATGCACTTCTGTTTGACACAGAGTGGAAACAACGACTTCAGACTAGCAAACAGTAGTAGGCTAATTTTTGTGAGCTGATTATTAAAATTGATCGACAAAGCGAAAGACAAAGAAGATAAAGGGGAAATGTAGCGATCCTATTCATTGGAAGCAATGGGATCGCCGATGGTGGTGTTACTGTAGACTAACAGAGAAAATGATGGACTAGCTAAACGGTTTCTCGTGGGTTGCAGTTAGTCAGTCTATCACTTACACCCTCCGTTGTCCATTACAACCACTCACCTCCACCAATAGGATTACCGATTGGATTTACCATATGTCTTCTTTGTCTATCGCTTTGTCTGTCATGTTCGATAATCAGCCCTTCGCTCAAGTGCAGGTTGCGTTTGAATAAAATCTTTGTTTCAATATTGCTGTCCTCAAATGTACATCTTAATTTTGGAAGAAAATGGAGATACTTTAGTAATTTAAGTACAAAATATTTCGATTAATCCTAATAGTTAGGATTTGTTGGACATAGCAAAATTCCAAATGCCACATAGCAAAATAGTTGTCTTGTAAACATACTTCCAGTTTTGCTAAGAGGAAAAACTCATTGTGAAAAAAAATGATTCACCCAGTAAGCCTCAGCAGCCAATTCGGTGAGTACCTTACGATCAATATGAAGATGGTTAAAAAAATTCTCCCTTGCGTCGCTGCTACCTCACTGCAACCCCCCCCCCCCCCCCCCCCCCNGCATATTGTATGAATATTCATAACTAACAGCAAATTAATATATCGTGGACCGTCACGTATCCAAAACTCAATGAAGATTAAATTGAATTAAAAGTGTTTAAGAAGAATCTGCATGTATACTGGCTTTCAAGTTTACTCACGAGTAAGTGTCCGCAAAAGCTTTTCTTCAGGAGAAGTTAAAAACTTCCTATCTACTGACCGCGGCGATGAGTCAACCATATTTATGCCCCCAAAGATTACAATTCATGTTACCTCTTTTTTATGTTTTTTCCCCGTGCCATTGTCTTCGCAGTTAGCGACTCCATTCAAGCCATAATGTAACTACTCAAAGTTAAAAACAACAAAAGATTCTGCCAAAGATATGTAATGGTCATTTCCACTTAGTGACAAACTGAAGCAATTCAAGATATTATGAGTTGTTTCACAAAAAATGGAAGTGTTCCTAGAAATTGCTTGTTTCGTCGGTTACCTCGGTGATGAACACAGTAAAAAAAGTTACTGTTAAGTATTTGTATGCTGAGACAACTGTTTTTATTGTTTGATTATTTGTTTTTTCTTTCTATTTTTTACCAAATTTTATTTTTTCACCCCTCTCCCGGTGTTGTATTTATTCAAGAGCTTCAAAAGCGAGAGTCGCTTTTTCTCCTTCATAAAATTCACATTTCTCCGTTCCTCCAGCTCTTCTTGGCTTCCATTAAGTCACAAATCGCTACAAATATTACATTTCCATGTCAAATAGCAAAGATTACCAACCAAAATGGACCAAGGGACTTTAATACCGAGTTGATACGCTTCGAATGTGAGCTCAAAACGGAGGCATCGATGATTTTCCCAGCCTTCTCGTCGGCCAATGGTGCAATTGTGGGTCATCGATGACCCTATTTGCAGCGTGCAACTCCGCAAAAAGTGAGAAAAAAATTAGAGAAAGGATGGAGCAGAAAAATTAGGGAATGCCTTGATCAAAGATTACGAAAAAAAAGGCACGTAATCTTTTTGACGTTTTTTTGCAGTCAAAACTTGAGGTACCTTAACTTCCCTCATGAAGGACTCTGCTGAAACCTTTCGGCAGTGTCGTTAATTGGTAGAATTCAATGAATCGATGATCATTTAAACCCATATCTAATCAAGCCAATAGTTTGACCACGTTGAGGAGGAGGGAACTACGTCAAATCAGCCATTGCCAAATTTCATCAAACGATTTATTATTATTTGACTCGAGATCGATAGTGTACATTTTTGTAAAAATTTCCGAGGACTTTTTTCATGATGTTAAACAAACTCCCTGACATTTTCAAAAGATACCACACAACTACTCTCCTGTAAAGAAATAAATTGTTTGATGAAATTTGGCGATGGCTGATATGGCTTGGCGCTTGGCTCTTTCCTGCTTAATGCGGTGCTGTTTGGAGACTCTAAGGCATGAGTAGAAAAAACATCCTTAAATCCTTGAATTTGTTTAAGATCATATCTATCTAGCTACGTATCTGCGGCACGAGACTAATGATCAAAACAGCTTCTTGATGTTTTTAGAGAAACCTCATCGATACAAAAATGGAATATACCAAGATAAAATCTAACTGAAAATACACTTATGCTCTCGCATAGTGATTCTAGTAAAATCTCAGCAGTAGTTCAAAATTGAGAATAATGGACGTAATTACGATAAAGAAAAGTCAATTTTTTCATCAAAAAGATAAAAGGAAGGCATTAGGTAATTCAATCTTTTGATAGCATGACAATTCTCTCCACACCCTCAACATTTTATTCCAACTGGTGTCACTGAGTATCGTGGATGTCTCCCAATATTGTGGTGGATCTTTTGATGTATTGCCTTCTGTAGGGCAGATATTGGACCTCAAAGTATACGCTTATGCCCCATTTGTATTAAAATGTTACCGATATTTGAGTTGTACCTACCTTGTATACAGCATTATTCATTCAATTAGTATTTACCAAGCACATAAAATTAGTTTTCTATTTATCGACGGTGTAAGTCGGCAATCACATAACTCGTTTGCAGTGTCTGAAAATCTCCGCCTCTATGTTATTTTTTTAAAGGAGAACAAATTGACATCATTGCTGATAGTTTTTGCAGACTTTTCTTCGCACAGAGCGTGAATTGCCGTTGCACAGAGCAAAAATTGCCGTTGAGCAGTTTTCCGTTTAAAAAATAAAGTATGACAGGAAGTCTGCGACGTCGCAAACCGAGTTATGTGATTGCCGACTTACGCCGTCGTTATGCTGTTGTTCTCTTTCTGTTTACTTTTTTCTTAGTTCTCTATTAATAGAAAAAATGTATGATATTTTTTTTCTCAGAGAGAGACCCCTGAAACTTCATATAACGTTGAGTTCGCCGTAAAGTAAAGAACAATCTGTGAATCCACCACCTTACCTTAAACTAATTGATTACTTAGGTATTTTCCAAAATAGATACCGAACGAATTTTGTCTCAAACATTTTATTGTAATTATTCTTACATGTATCGAAGGAGAGGTTTAGAGGGGATTTCATCTGAAAAAAAAAAAAATATAGAGATCTTAAGGGACGTATGAAACTTTTCTTCGTTGATTTTGAGTCGGCTGTTGCCTTTTTGACGATTCTCTTTCATTTGTATCTGGTATCCAGAATTAACCAACTTTGTTAAAATGTATTTATATATGATCTTCCCGTGCTTTTGCTGAATTTATGTACGTAAGCTGCATCTTCTTAATATGGCCTTTTCATTGTGTAATGTAAATGCTCAATTTCTAAAATCAAACAATTTCTTTGCTTAACTGAACCTAATCGTTGTACCGTGTCTAGGTCAAAATGAAATAAAATCAAAAAGCTCCAGAAATTGGAAGTTCAAAATTGCTGTGTAAATATTTATAGCTTTACGAAAAGCTGCGATTGTATAAAATCCGAATTTCTGTGATATTATGAGTTAAAATAAGTGAACCAAAAGCATAAATATTACAATTTTTATCCTGTCCAAAGGAATATCAAGGAAATGTTTATTTTTTTTTTGTTAGAGAAATAAATACATTATTTTTTACTGCTTATCATGCTTTCAATTACTGTCTCCCTACGTGGCAAAAAAAAGTCAAATATATACTTTGTCATTGTGAACACTGAACAATTTTAATTTCTATGCACTTTAACGCACATTCCGTGTGAATCTGTCACATATTTTGGCACAAAACGTTGTGACAACAAAGCAAATTATAAGAAGAACGAAAACCCGTAAGTATATTGGAGCGGTACTATTTACATAAACAGCCTCCCACCCAGGCTCGCCCCATCCCATCTCGGGCCCTGGTACCAGTTTTAAGGTCCGGGCCCCAAGCACGGACGGTGGGGGGGGGGGTCCTAGGGGCATCCCCCGAGAAATTTTAGAATTTATACGACTAATCGGACGCATTTTGAAGCTTCCATAAAGATTTTTTCCATCAGTTTTCAAAATACTGAAAATCTTGAAAATAGATAGAAATTTTCCAGGAAGTATACTTCTTTGAAAATTTAAGAAGAATTCTA